TGCGTGTTATTTTTAGGGTTGAGAAGTTTCCAAAACTTCTTTGGATTAGTTTGGGCAATGTTAAGCAAGTCATCATGAAAAAATTTCTTTTTGAAGCGCTTCAGCAAGTGAGTGTATTCACGAAGGCGTGCGAAATATCTGTTCCATTTTGATATTGACTCAAAGTTTTTAGCAGCGCGAAAAAGACGTTTTTTCTTTTGAGATAGTTTCTTTAGGAGATTAGAATACCAGGGTCGCTGAGCATCGCCTGGAACACGAATAAGGAGGACGTGGTTATCGATAAGGGTTAATAATTTCCGCTTGAACAATAACCAGTTTTGGTCAACTGTTCAGGTAGAAGCAGACAGGGTGAAGGAGACCAAAAATATATTAAGTTCAGAGTTAATCGTCAAGAAGTTGGCATTGTTAAAGTCGCGTATTAATTTTTTCGAAGGTCTTCGCGAAGGTAAGGCAATGGACAATGAAAACAATACAACATTATGGTCACTCAGACCGGGAATGCATGACACTGACTGAATTAAATCTGGGTTGGAGACAAGAACAAGATCAAGAGTGTTTGTGCCACGAGTTGGCATTGTGACTGATTGCGATAAGTTAAAAAGGAGACACAGTTCGAGGAAATCTCTGGATTGTCGTGAACTAGCACACAAGTTGTCCCAGTCAATATAAGGGTAATTAAAGTCCCCGCAAAGCAAGAAGTTTGCGTGAGGAAACCGGGATGTCCGATCAAAAAGAACATTTTGAAGGTCATCTGTGAAAGAGTAGTCGCAGTCGGGTGCGCGGTAACAGGCTATAAGAATGTTTTTGCACGTGGGAAGGATTATTTCAACGCAAAGAATTTCAAAATTCGTACTGATTGTCACAAATTGGGAGGGTAGGCTGTCTTTCACGAAAACTAAAATACCACCCCCTCTGCGTCTGTTCCTATCAAGTCTGTAAGACGTGAAATGGGTGTTGCTGTGACGTAATTCATTGTCGTGAATATCAGGGGTTAGCCATGACTCAGTTGGGATTGCGATGTCGGTGCAGGTGTCCTCAAGGAGAGTTTGCACAGCTTCCTTTTTGGGCATATAGCTACGGATATTCGTAAGCAGGATAGATGTAGTTTGATAAACTGGAGGAGCGATTCTAGTTGGAATGAACTCGAAAGGAGGGGAGGACGGAACCCTGGAAGCACACAGTGAACGCTATGCTTTCAGTTCTATAAATTTGTCCGATTCAGCATCATAAACGAAAGGCTTTTTGTCAACGATAAGCTTGTCGAAACGGATTTTGAAGGACACGAATTTGCTTTCCTGTGCATACAATTAAAGCTTCTTCCTTGCCAATCTTACACGCGCTGAATAATCCTCGCGTACAGAGAATAACGAGTCCTTCAGTTTCAGGCCAGCGGAAAGTATTCTAGCCTTATCCTTAAATCTGGACAGGGTGACTATAATCAGGCGGTTTTTATTGGCTTGAAAGCGGCCTAGTCTGTGTGCTCTTTCAATATCTACGGAAGTAATTGGAACTTCAAGTTTTTCGGTGCAAAACGAGATTATACGCGATTCTGATTCGGCCCATGTTTCGTTAATGACGTCGGGTATTTCAAAAAATAGCAGGTTGCACCGGCGGAGGCGATTCTCTGAGTCATCGCATTTTTCGGCTAGCGTTTTAATGCTGGAAGAAAGGTTAGATAGGGTATTACCATTCTCGGTAGTGGGATCAGCGGCACGGGCTGCGTTAATTTGCTCAAGAGCGTCAACACGGGAGGAGAGGCGATCAACCAAGCCTGCCATGTTTGATTGTGTTGCTCGGATAAGGGCCAATTCAAAGAGCACTGTGTCTTGCGATTTTTCAACGCGAGCGATGGCTTCAGCAATACTTTCAAGTAAGGGGGAAGGACCAGGGTTAGATTCAATGTCTCCCGCGAGCATGAGCAGAAGGCAAACTAAATGGGCATTCACGGCGAAAGAACACAATGATTGACACAATAATCTACGCCACCTACGCCAGCAATCAAGGATGTCAGGGGGGCACGACACCGCAAGTAGAAAGGAATCACTTGATCGAAAGGAATTAGCGTGTTGCAAGTAACTGACCTGCATTAGGAAGGGCATTTTCATGATCGCGTTCGATGCGGTGGCATGCCCCAACTGGCCTCCGGGCGAAGGCGGCTTTTGTAGGGCTGCGGCGCTAGTAGATGTCCGAAGTTGCCAGGCGATGAAGTGGTCGGCGACTGAAGGTGGCGGATCCGGTTCGGCTTGACATTCGTCGTTCTCGTCGGTGAACAGAAGTGGCGGCTTGTTGGTGAGGTAAGCAGGAGGTAATCCGGGAGGACTTTCGGGCAGCCGGAAAACGCAGGATGTAGTCGAGATGAACCCGAGTAGAACAACCTGCATTAGGAAGGGCATTTTCATGATCGCGTTCGATGCGGTGGCATGCCCCGCATCGAACGCGAACATATATATATATATGTATATATATATATATATATATATATATATATATATATATATATATATATATATATATATATATATATTAAGTAAGACAAAACACCTGAGTTACATGTGTAGGTCTTAAGTGGTACGCCAACAGTCGCGCGTGGTGCAACCAGCGTCCGAAAGCTCGCAGCCCTGCTTTTGCGTGTTGGTTTCCCCATCGATATCCCTAAACATATATGAACTGCTTAAGATTCGACTTGGCACACTTTCCAGCGCTGATGATGAGAGAGTCCCGTTATATATCCGCAGCTGCGCTCAAAGCATACATCTACACTACATAACACTACAGCGTTCGCACAACGCGACGTTTACATCAAAAACTGGTTCTTGGGTGTCAACAGGGGTGCGCGTACACCAAACCGACCGGGCATGTTATATTGTCACGTGCTTGCTCAAGAAAGACGATGGCAGTTGTGCATGTGCCACGAAGGACTACGAAATAGACGAAGAAGAAGAACTCGCTTGCGCGTTCTAATTAAAAAGATCGACCTGCTTCTGGTGTCTCAATCTCTACGGCAAGACCTCTGTTTTGACGTCGTGACAATATTACAGTCGCATTCGGGGGCAGACGCATTGCATAATGCTTTTGTTTGTTACTATTGTGATGCGTTACAAAAATGATGATGGCACTCACGTACACCGCATTCCTGTGAATAGATGTGATGGGCAACTTTTTGTGGCAATGTACAGGTCAAATACTAACCACACAGAGAAAACAAAAGGATTTGTATTTGCTCGTACAGGTCCTTGTAATGCATGTTGGAGTTCTTCGTCGCAAAACCACCTAATGATCGTAGACGTCGTAGAGAAGAAAATTCGGAACACCGTGGGCTCTTTGACGTGCCCCCGAATCTAAGTAGACGGGCCTCTGGCTTTTCATATCCATAGGAATGCGGACGCTATGGCCAGGACTTGGTCCGGCAACCTCCGGGTCGTCGTTCGAGCAGCGTAACCACTCGACCTCCATGGTGGGTTACGTAATCCAGAGTGGAGCTACTTTTCTCTTTCACGGCACAGCTCCTGTGGTCGAGCTTTGCCGTGTGTCGTGTACGGAAAGTTATAGCTATTTGAAGCCTCCACGTGCTTAATCACTGCCCAAGCGCACTGCACAGGCCACTAACAAGTTAAGCTGAAACGCATCCACCCGCTCTGCTGTAGCACGCACTTATTCGACTTAGTACATGCTGCGTTAATTTGTTTTTATTTTCACTGATGGTGCATCAAGTGAACACGTAATATTGCCTAACTAGCAGTTTAGCCGATTGCCATTTTATCCCAAAAAATTACGTTAATGTTCTCTAGAAATGATATATGCAATCAGGAGAGGCCTTCATGGACTAGTAAAGAATCAACACAGCTTCGGTTCCTCTAATGATCGCTTAAATTACATTACACGAGCCCTACAGTCTTCTTCGTACCACGCTGATAACATTCTGATTCCTGTTGGCTAATTTTGAACTTGAGACATAATGCTTCCCAGCACTGTGCTACAGTGTACGATGCGTTTTGCTTACAGTACTGTTAGCCCAGCGATGCAGTCTGATCGCGCATGCATGTCAAGATATGGGTTATAAAACCTCTCCCTACATGGCACTAGGTGAATAATTAAAACGCTGGGTTGAGGTGGCGATACCACTGTAAATCTGTGCTTTAAAATAGGTAATATTGAGAGGTCACGAGGATTGCTTTTATTCATCTAGGACCCAAATAAACGTGCCGAATTCAGGTAGTGAAGCACTGTTGCATTTATTGCCTGTCAAAAAAAGCCCTTCGTGAAGACACACGAACCATGTGGCTCATTTTGATTTTATTATTGTTTACAAAGCCGGACAATGTGAGCGTTCACTAGACGACAATCACTAATCGCGCAGGCGAAATACAAAAGGCCTGTTCGTCACATCAGCAAATGAAAGTGTTCATTTTTTCTTGAGTGCAGCAAAAACTTTCGATGCCGCATCACACTCCAAAATTGACCATCGGCTGTTCTACTCACGTGAAACAGAAAAAAATCGCAGCATATTCACGAGAAGAATGATGACCAGTGGGGTGAAGTGAATGGACGGGTGGACGGATGGACGCACGGATGAACGGACGGACGATCGCGTGGATGAACGCACGGAAGCACGGATGGACTGATGGCCTTAGCCCGACTCATCAGCATTCACTCCGTGGATATGCTATCACACCGTTTTTATTGACATGCAATGGTATGCAAGTGGCTACTATATACGACAAAGACGACTATGACGGCACGAGACATACGACCCATAGCGTAAGGAGCTTGGCCCCTAAAATCGTCGTGTAATGTGGTCACCAGCTGACATCATAGACTTCCGAAGCCTGTGACGTCATAATTGTGCCGTCGCATGTTATTTTGTTCAGCCAAGGGGGTGCCAATCCCGGAGGCTCTGCAGAACTCCGTGAGGTGCAGAATGCTTGCAACGCCTGCGATCTCGGAGACCCTACATAAGCGCCCAAGTGCCAGGAGTCTTTTCAAACAGGGACTGTGGGGCAATGGAGATCAATGCAAATGACCTAGACTACAAGAAGAAAGGTATGTTGTTGAGCTGGTCAGTTCATAGATTTAGCGAAGTTTTAAACTGCGAGATGACTAGCACAAAAACAGTAACAAATGTATATACATACGTACACACAAGTGCAGTCTTCATCGCGCAGTTTAAACATTTCCTGGAAGAAAAAAGAAGCTTTCGCCCTCGAATCGCCCAGAGCGAATGCATAAGGAACTTTTAACATTTGCGTCGATTTGAATGACATCGCTTATGCGGAAAACTTAATATTATACTAATACATCCCGATTCTTGTTCTCTTTTCTGGTATCGATTGCTTCGCTCTGTGAAGTCCCCAATCTACTGCACTGTCTGTAACTCAATGTATTTATTCCTCCAACCAACCCGTTATCAGTATATGAGAGACTCCGAGAGAGCAAGCTACCTTTGCTGCGGCGTTCACGCTACATCTTCAATCTCCTCACCCACGCATTTACCCAGCACGTCGTGGCTCAGCCTCTGTATATTTTCCCTCTTGCGCTGTTCTTCGTTTTTGCGCTCGCTCGGTGTCAAATGAAAATTTATTGCAAACACCACGGGCGTCGGACTTCATTTCTGCGGCTCGTCTCCCACACTGCGGTGAGGCTTGATGCGACGCCACTACGTCAACTTCTCTCTCTTTATTTTCCTATCTCCTCACCCATGCGCTGCCTCAACATTTCGCGTGCTCTCCACCACGCGCGAGAGATCATCCGTTCATCGTCGCTTCCTGCTGGTTTGTTATGATGCAGGCGCCGCAACCACCAGTCGTACTCGCGCCCGGAAAAGCAAAACGGCCAGCGACGTGTCTTCGTCGTCGGTGGTGGCACGCAGGCAGCCGCGGAGGAAAGAACTCCCAGAGGCGGGCGGATGGGGGATTCGGAACCGTCGAAGTCAGTGCGAACGCGAAGCGCACGCAAGTAGGATTAGAAACGAGGAACGGGAGACGAGAGAGAGAGTGGGGGAGAGCATTTACGTGGCACGCACGCTGGGGCCTGTGCCTCTATTCAGATGATACGGGGGTGGAATCGCGCGTGGGGTAATAATGAAAAACGACGCCTGGCGGCCGGATAACGCAAAACCCAGAGGGGGGCATAGCGCTCAATATAGAACCCGATGGGCTGTGCGCGCAGCGTCTGCTTTCACACAATACTTTTTCGCAGTCGGTTCATTTCTTTCTGTGTCTTTTCATTCTTCATTAATTTTTTTTCCAGAGACAAGCGAGAGACAGAGAGGGAACCGAGCAACAGTAAAGAACACTGCGGTTGGTTTGTCGGCCGCCCGCCGTACGCAAGCATAGAGTCGCATATCCCGCGCTCACACGAAAAGCGTCGTGCCGAAAAGCGATTCGGCTTACTCGCCGGGCGCCGGGGTATTTGGATTTATACCGCTAAAATCTCGATCGCGATGTGCGCCGTCGGCTTCCTCCTTTTGCTGCTCCCTCCCGAACCACCCCTTTCGTTTCTTCATGCATCCATTGTTTTAGCGCCGTCGCTCATCGGACGAAAGCTGCGGCGGGTATATCGTATTTTCGGGATTTATCCGCACCGTATAAGCGACGGATGCGAGAAGGAACGGAGAACTTCGCCAAAGGTGAAGCGAATGGTAGGGAAACGTATTGAGCAAAGTGGAAGGACAGTCTATAGAAAGGTGAGAGAAGGAGAAAGAAGAAAGAAAGGAAAAAGGTGGAGGGGGTGAGTCTGCGCCGAAAACGGACGGAAGAAGGCTTTTGGGTCGAAACGCCGACGGCACCAAAAAAAAAAAAGTGCTGTACGGCACAGTGATCGCGGCGCACTTGCTCATACTGCTTAGGAAACCGGCTGCTTTTGCCTTTCGTGTTTCGTTGCTTGTTTGATAGAGGGCGGTCTGGATTCCAGCTTTCGGCCGAGCGCTCAAGTCGCCCGATGGGGTGTTTGAACGAGCGCCGGTATATTCTTTGCTGCTTTCCGCGCTCTGATGAGCTTTGCAGCCGTTCCTTTGTGCGCCCGCGGTGTTATATCCTTAGGTGCTCTTCCTGAGTCGTAGTCGTCGTTTGGAAATCAGCGTGCATAAAAGAGGTCATTTATTTCAATGATCTAGAGCTCGGTTAGTGTGATGGCGCCGTGCGCGCGGCGAGATATGAATGGAATAAGCGGACACGTGGCTCTGAATCTTCAACGGGAAGAGAGTGGATAAATGATGGAATGTACGAAAGTGTAAATTATGAAAAACCGCGCGCCGTGTACGCACGTATTCTTCATTCTGCTTGACGCAGTGTGGTTTTGCATGGAATGTTGCAGCGTTGTTTTTTGAAGGATGACAGCTAATTTTGCTGATCTCTTCTTCACTTTTTCTCGTTTCTCTTTCAGCGTTTCTCTCCGCTTCTCGTGTTTGCGGATGCTTCGCGTGTTTTCGCACGCAACTCTGTTCAACATTTCGGTGGCGAGCAATATAGAGCCGCATTTGTGGTTTGCGTAGGCGGCGAAATATTACGAAGTGTATTGCCGCAAGCGTAAGTGAAAGCCACAACTTACGACGTTTCGCTGCGTGCATGGGTCTAGTGAAACACTGACCCACGAAGGAAAGGATGGAAGCATCATTTTTCTTGTGTACATCTCGTTAGCTGTTCAAGTCAAAAATGTCTTCAAGTCAACGACGTCGAAATAACTTGCTTACTTTACATCACTTGTTTAAAATCATGGCGCCGGACCGCCGTGGTATAGTACCGGTTGGACGCTCTGCTCTGACCCGAAAGTCACGGTTTAGACCACCGCCGCAGCAGTCGTAAATTAACCAGTCGGAATGACCCCTGCATACTGTGTGCTGTCGGTGCACGTTAAAGAACCCCAGATGGCTGAAATTTCCGGAGCCTTAAGCTATGGCCTGCCTCATAATCATACGGTGGTTTTGACACGTAAAACCCCAGATGGCATTGAAAAGTATTGCTGCGAATTTCGGCGAATTACCAATCCATTTTTTTTTCATAATTGACTGCTTTCCCTGCCGGCTCAGAGTTTGCAAAGCGACCAAGAAACGGCGTTTGTGGAGAAAATGCTTCCTTCTGAGCGCTATAATCTTCGTTCAGAGTTAATTCTCAGTAACTTGGAGCACTTAATTAGATATATAAAACATTATTTAGTTTACGGCTTATCGAAGGAGAAATAAAAAACCAGATATTTCAATATTTGGTGTTGCCTTTCTTTTAGTATAGGACGTAAGACTAACAACCAGCAGTGAAAAAACTTCTCGCGATCATTTAGGAAGCTTCCAGTGTTCTTTGGAGTATCGACGATGGCCCAACTTCTCCGCTGATATCTACGGGATACTAATTTGGGAGAACAAGTGGCGACATGATTCTGAAAAGCAAGAAGTCCTCAGAAAAAGCTGTTGCCAGTCTTATTATCCTGGATAGAGAACGAAACAGTCAGAGCAAGGAGTCGCACGTCCGGTTTACAATAAATAAAATAGAAGCGTGACATGGGCACTCGTGCATTTTTCTTATTCTTTTTCGCCTTCTACTGTTGCTCATTACCTACAGTGGGGGATTGACCAAGAACTGAATGGTCTTATAAGGAGTTATGAAGATATAGGCTGTAGAATATAAGCATTACAGTTTTTTTTTTGAAGTTCTGATGCTCCCTGAATTGCACAAAAATAATGCTTTTAGTAATAATTAACGAATTAATTTTTTATTATAACACTCGAATGAGTATATTTTCTTCTTTTCTTCCTCAGTCAAGTATACTGACGTGCTTCCCGCATCAACAATGGACACGTGACCTTTCTGCGCACGTGAAACTATATTTAGAAGTTACCGCCTGTAATTAAGACAGATCACACACCAACTAAGGATGTTTATTCTTTCCGTGCCTGTGCCTTCCATACTTGTGAGATGTTGTTCCGGTGCAAAAGCGAGACACAAAACATTATCTATTGTTCTTGCTTGGGTGAAGGGAGAACGATGCTGCATCTGTTGAACCGAAAAGCCTTCGATGCCTTCTTCCACCGAGAAAAAAGATCTTGGGTGACGCCAACCCGAAAGACGGAAAAAAATTAAAGCGGGGACATCACTCTATAGGATGTCATTACGACATCACAGGGTGCCAGAATTTTTACGTATAGCACATGACAATTCAAAGGAGGATTATCACGTCGCTTTGTGAAATGCAGGCTGATCATCACGGAGGCTGTGCTCAAACAGCGTGAAGTGCACAAGGCTACTAATTTCTTCTATCACGGAGGTCATGTGAAGCCACATTGGGGGCGGAAAGCTTCTCGGCGGGATACACACAACCAAATGCGAAGAAATAGAAATGGTTTTCGTCTTCCGGTCGTCCTATGAAAATTCACGAGGACCATGTAGCTTGTAAACCATACTGTACGCAACTGTACGCAATCTGTACGCAACTGTACCGTAAAATCCCCAGCAAGCAACCCTTTCCCCTTTCTCGGAGGTACGCGCTAGCGATTGAGCAAACACTCCCACATCCACGCCCATTTCCCCGTACATCGTTTAGAGAAACATGTCCTCCTCTACAGAGTCATGTAGTAGTGGTTTCTAAGCACTCAAGTTCTGAGTTCTGGGCACAACTATTTGGTACTTTTATGGCGGGGTGCCTCCCCCCACCCCCACTCAAAATTTCGCCCGATTATCTGTCACCGTATGGGAGTGCATGAGGAGGTGGGCTTGCTTGTCATTCTTATGTTAAATAAGTGGGTAGGCTTCGTCCTCTAGCTCAACAGGCACCACGGTCGCTCGACACACACTTCGCTCATTTACCTTCTGCCTATCGCAGTGTCGTAATGGTGACCGCACCTATTTTCGCGGACAGCAATTTTAAGGTGGCCCACCCTACGTGTTGCTACAACGCTCGTCTCATTATAGTGAGAATTCGCACAAATCGGAAAGTTAAGATAGCTTCTAAAAGCATCAGCTGTGGGTATGCCTCAGTATTAGCATGAATTGGTAGTACCAAGTAAGACTTTTTAAAGAACACGCCCTAACCGAGCGGCCAAACTTGAATAAGAC